GGACTTTTTTTTTTTTTTTTTTTTCCCCTTTTGCTGCAGGAATTAGATACTCCATTTAGGCTGTACGGACTGACCATGAATCCACTGATCTACAATATCACACGTGTTGTAATACTCTCTGCTGTCTCAGGTGTTATAAGTGATCTTCTAGGATTCAATATCAGAGTAAGTCTAACTCCCATACAAAGTAACGGGAAACATCCTGTCGGGTCACTTTTGTACCATTGCCACATTCCTTCCACCCGAGCAGAAAGGGCATGGGTGGTAATTCAGAGAACAGACCACATGAATGTATCACTGCCAAGTCCCTGAGCCGGGCGGGGGGACAGGGCTGACAAATTTCAGCCCCGTTCGGGTCTTCAGTGCCCACGTGAAGCCATCGGTCAGAGCCTGGGATCCTCCCCTTCAGAACAAAGACCCAGACACTTTGAAACCAGAGCTTGCGGAGCGGAGCGTTCAGCGCAGGCTGGGCAAAGGAGACCGAGTTTTACCTGCAGATGAAAAGCATTCAGACCTATGGCTTTCTGACCAATACGCTCCACCTCTCTTTTCAGCTATGGAAAATTAAACCGTGAAGTGACCGAACATCAGCACTTGGCTCTCTCCGCCAGACAGACAGACCAGAGAAGGCAACCAATAGCTCGGGCAAAAAGCAGAGGTGCTCTGAAACTACGGAAATCTGTAATTACGATTTTGTAACAGATTCTCAGTGTATGTATCGAAAGTTCTCCCTCTGCTTTGCTGTTCTGTAACATACAGAATAAACTGGTCTAATTAGCAAAGTCATCCCATGGCACCGACACACAGCAACAAGGAATTAACGGGGCCAAACAGGAGTAGCTGGCACTGAGAATAGCAGGAACTGTGTGCGCAGTGTGGGGCATCAAACAGTAAAAGCCATGCGAGAGCTCCTGCTGCAGCGACACCGACGACTGCTACAGGTGCCTTGTTTCTGTAAAAGCCCAGTCCTGCGCACGTGACAAGCGAAGGGTCGGGCCTCCTGTTTCAGGTAGCCCCATCCTTTTCAGAGGGCTCTGGAGCTATGCTGCAAGTTTTCAATGCGTGCATCTTTCTTCAGAGCTCTGCTCAGACTGATGATACATAAATACGTTTATCTGAATGTGCTGAAGAGTATTTCTTTTCTTACAAGCTCAGCGTGCTCGAGGCTTTGCCTCTTTATCCTGAACTACTGCAGGATGCACTGAAATTGGGTCTGCACGAGATGAGTTCTGCCTCCATGCTGACAGTTAAGCAATGTAACATTTGTGCTGGTTGGCTTATGTTGGGTCTTCTGCAAATAAACGATCGTTTTCTGAAAACATTACTTACATGAGAACAACCTTACAACACAAACTACAAGTAAAGCATTTATCAAGTATAGACTATTTTGCTGTGTTTGTTCCTGTAACACCTCCGTTATGCTTAGCCTGGGCTCTGTACCAAGGGCATCCTGGCATCTTGTTCTGACAGCCAGCTTTGCTCCGCGCTCTGAGCAGCGCTGCAGCTCCGCGCTGCAGCAGTGCCCTGCGCTGCAACACCTGAGGAAGAACCCTGTGGCGAGAGTCAGTTCAGTGGAAGAGACGTGGCAAAGACTTCCTCGCCCAAAAGTAGATTAATGTTTAGAAAGGGCATAGGAGAGAAACAAACTGTTTTAAAGACATCTGTTAAACTTACGTTTTTCCTTAACTGCCTCTACTGTCTTCTATTATATTAGTAATGAAAAAAGCAAAACCTGAGGAACTTTGCATAGCTTCGTTCTTTCACATAAGGGGTAAGATGGCATAAGAATTTTTGGTAGTGAATTGTTTACAGCTATTTTCTGCACACGGAAAAGGTGTAAGATGTAAAAGGAGATAACAATTTTATATATCAAAATGTACAAATAAACCTACAGTACAAGTATTTCATCATTAACACCTCTTTCTACATGACTTGATGCTTTTTATAATACCTTTGTTGAACACTTGTTATTGGAACAGGGCATCGAGGAAACTTCCAACAGTAAGTTGCATTAGAAGAGTATTATGTTTGTGGGTAAAACCTGGGTCACAGATTTAGCTGTTTGAAGTATCACACCACGGAAAGTCAACAAAGAATCTATTTTATACAGTGCAGAACCAACAGGCCATGAACTGCAGTTTCTTTTTAATATCTATATAAAAAATAATGAGCGATTTACAGGTCTCTCTCTAGTCAGAACCTCAGAAGTATGTATAAAGGTGCTGTACAATATATAAACATTTACACCCAGTACATCCATACATTGCTTAGCATTCCAAGGCCACATTGCTAAGTCATCATCTGGTACAGTAAGTACGGATACAAGTTCTATGGAAGGAGAAATCACACACAGGTAAGACACTGAATCAGGTCACATTAACATACAGAAAAAATATAGGGGTACTTGATGACAGGGAGATAGCTTCAGTGGTGCTAACTCATCTTTGTATTAAACGTCTGAATTTGTTACTGTACTCAGTGGTTAGGGCAAGTGCATACAACTCAACATAAAACAGAATCTCTTGTTAAGAATACATGGTTAATATCTACATAGGCTACTTCAAAGTATTAAATATTTTCACAGTCATACTCCACAACGTGGAGTATTTGTACGTATTATGCTACACAGCAAATCTCAATGGATCATCCAAAGTCAAGCAGCAGAGCACAGTTCAGATCTGCTTTAAAGCCTATTTAATTTTCAAAGTCTTTGTTTAAAAAGCTGTTTGAGTAGTCATCTCTACTTCCAAAGAATTCAACTCAGAACCGATTCACTGTGCTTCATTAAGCTTTAAAAACATCAAATGTTTCAAAGCCAAAAAAATGAGATATTCACTCATTCATTTTTAAAATAGCGAATCGTATTAGTTTGAATTTTAACGTAAGTAAAGCTTGACCTTTTACATTTCTTTCTCCTTCTGCAAACTGGACCAGTGGGCTCCTTGTACCACTTTTTTGCTGTCATTAAGAACCTAACATGTCAGGAAATTATCACTAAAACTATGAAGAAAATAAACCCCTTCAACTTAAGCAGTCTGCTCTTCTCACAGCCGTAGGGCTGATGCGTCAGTAGATTCTGGTGGTAACATTCCTCTTTTTAAAATATGTATTATAGCCCAAACAATAGATATTAAGTCTCATGTACCCTGCATAGCGTCCTATTGAGCACTCTTAGAACAGATCACACGTGGGAGACTTTACTATACACAGGCAAGAACTTCATTTACGAAGCTACTCTGGCAGTTGGTTCTGTCCTACAGGTCAGCTGTTACCTCTACAGAGGGAAAAAATCTGATTCCTAACTAGCATTACATAATTAAAGATGGGAATTCAGTATACAGCACCACAATGAGGCTGAAAATAAATGTGCGCTCATTGCTTATGTTCACAAAGAATGCTGAGGATGACATAGTGCCCCAAGGGAAGCCAAAGGAATTATGTTATTTAACAGAACCCAGAACTGTCTTTTTTCAGACAGATGTTTGCCAACAGTTGCTATAAGCATCCTTATGAATCAAGAAAATAAAGCAATTTTGCTGTGTTCATAAAAAGCAAAATTACAAAACATTGATTATGTCAAATATAATTTTTATCTACACAATTTTGTATTAGGTATAAAAATTTAAGAAAAAAACATCAATTGAACAGCATCAGTGGCTCGTTTGCTGCCCTAGAATCGATAGAACCAACTCACCCATCTTCTTACCGGACCAGTAAGAACATGTGTATTTCCTTATGTAAACATGCAACATGCTCTTGCGAAAATACCCATTTCGAACAAAACCTCGCCTTTCCTGTGACTGGAATACGTATGAGAAGGATTAGATTGACTGGATACAGTAGATAACTTGGCACAAGAACAAGAAGTGAGTCATGATCACATTGGCAATATAGGCATTAAATAATTTTGTTCAGAAACTCACAATACTATCTGAGAAAGCCGTAGCAGTGCAACGTTGAGAGCAGCAGAACACCGCCTTCAAAAGGACAAGGGGACAGCAGCTTACGGAAGAGTTTCATTTAAGCAATCCAAAAGGTCCTTCATGCAGCTTAGATAATTTAAGAACGAATCAAATACTTTCTACCCTCTAACCAGTTTCTGAAAAAAATGACAACTTTGTGAAAAGAAACAATGCTTTTAAATGACCATCATTAGAAACTTGACTAAAACGTGTTCTAAAAAAAAGTGTCAGTCAAACCCGTTTTTCAGCCACACCTGCTGTTTGGGTGACTTTACATGCGCTTGGTACCCTCCAAGGTCCAGGAGTTATCGGTGTTTTCTTGACTGGAGAACTATTCTCGGATTTAGAAATTCCATCATCTTTGGTTTCATCGGGCAGCTCCGTGTGTCTCTCTCTGTGTTGTCTGTTCAGCGTAACAGTCTCCTGTGTTTCCAGCCTTCTTTGTTTCTCCATGGAAAGCAGTGGAATATTGGAAAGACTGGAAGTTTTGAATCTGCTGGAACTTGGCTCTCCGGAGTTTGACTTCTTTATTTTTTCGTCTTCAGATGTGTTTCTCCTGGAGTCACCAAATGGAAGATTATTCTCATCAAATGCTGCACGTTGTCGCTCTGGAGACCACCCTTCCATCCTTCCAGAAGTTTTCTGCTTTATGTCTTTCCTGGCAACTCCTGTTTTACCATTTCCACCTTTCAATTGCTCAACAGTCGTCTTATCACCACCAATTGTTCTATCTTGATATTCTTGTAACCTGCCTACTGTTTCTACGTTTCCTTGCTTACTGAGATGCTTTTGGGGACTGGCAGACCTTCCTTGATTTCCACCAGAATGCTCTTTTTTGTTAGTATTGTTCATCCTTATTTCTGTGGGTCTACTCTCACTCTTTCTGGAACTGTCAGATTTATGTGAGAGATTGCCGTAGGTTTTTTCAGGATCCCCTTTTTTGGGGCTGTGGAATCCTGTGTGAGAGTGTCCCTCAGCAGCCACTAACTTTTCTGGACTTGCAGATCTGTCTCTTCTGGTCCCTAATTCCAAACTACCTTTTGTGATTTCAAACCCAGGGCTGGAGGGACATTCCCATCTGTTCTTTGTTCTCTTGGGAGAAGACAGAGGCTTCATCTCAAACTGGTTTTCAGTTAAAGTGCTTATCTTTTCAGGCACAGTGTTCTTTGCTTGTTCCAGTTTCTCAGACAGCTGAACTCTTGTTAAAGCTTCTCCTGGTACTGGTAAATAACACACTTCAGATGGGGAAGCAGAATGTGAAGATGAAGATAATGGTGACTGTTCTTCATATATTACATTTGATGAAGATGGATTATAACTATCCCAATCACCTGGAAGGGAACAGTGAGAGATTTGACTAAATGACTACCAAAAAAGAAAAAAGAAAAACATCACTAAATATTTTAGAAACATGCGTACTACTGAGGTTCCAGGATGTTATATGAAACCTTCAATTCAAAAAAGATTATGTAGTGGCATACTCTCAAAGTCTTATTTAGTCAGTTTTCTGTACTGCATTGTTCTACAACCTACAGCAACCTTAAGGATGTGATTTGGGAATAAACTCGTGCTTAGGATGCTAGTGCGATCTCTACGGGACTGACATGGTCTTGTACCAGCACAACTTTAGAGCCTACGTAGCAAAATTGCAAAATAGAAAGCGCCTGACCTACATTGTTTAATTCTTGGTTTAAAACCAAATGAACTGAAACTGTTATGCTAAAAGAAAACTGAAAACCGTGAAAAGTTAAGGTTATTCATAGCTTTGCACTGTAATATAGGAAGAGATGAAACACAAGACATGCAGATTTACCAAGTCTTTAAGGAAAAACCAAGAAAAGCACTGAAAGCCCTTAATGTTGCTCAGGTTTCACGTAGGGACACAGGCTGGAAGGAGCCAAACCTGAAGGAGGAAGAGAAAAAGCCCAGAACTACATACCAAAATCACAGGGTACAGCAAGCAAGATCTCAATCAGAAATGTATGATCAACAGCAAGACAAGAGGCAACAAAACCCTTCCCTTCTCCACGGCTGCTGATCTAATCGAAGTGGCTTAACCCAGTCTCCGGCCTCGCTGCTGACAGATGGCCGGACCAGACGGTCTCCAGAGGTTCCTTCAGACTTTGCTATGGTTCTGTGTTTCTGCCTCAGCCTCAGGAGAATTCCATGAACAAGAGGGCCAGGAGTGATTCCGGACAGCTACTGCGCTGCCCTCGTGGTGCAGGATAAACCCCACTTACCACTGCTGAAATTATCCCAGGCTTAAATAGCTGTTAGTAAGGAGAGCGCCGGAGGTGTCCTCACACTGCCTCCCTCTCTTCTGGCTTGTAAAAGCCCATTTTAAAGAGGACCTCAACAGAAGCTCGTCAGAACACAAGGAGGACTATATTTAACTTTCACCCTTAATGAGAAGGTAATTCAGTGTGAGAGACAAACCCAGCCAGCCAGGAATCCAGTAAGATGGCCCACAACAGACCTTGCGGTTCACAGGCGGGCTGTTTCCGTGCCATGCACTAATTCACTGCTTTTACTGCGCTGTGCAGGCTGGAACAGCAAGATGTTAAGAGCCATCTTCTAGCTCTCTGGAGAAAAGAAACGGAGAAAGTGCTGAGCAGATTTTATCCCTTGAGTGGATGCCAGTTGCTGCGTGTAAATGACTGAACAAACTACGTGGTAGTTCAAACTGCATTTTAAAATTTTCAAAGGATAAAAGCTCATGGTTGGTCACTATTACTGAAAAGCTCTTCCTCAGAAAAAGTGCAATTTAAGTGTTACAATTTAAGTAGTTTACCATCAGAATCTTCGTGTCAGCATCAAGGGTTAAAAGATTAAACAAGTGCACTCGGAGAGCTGGTGTTCTTTGCTTTAAAATACTGCCACAGCCACAAGCCTTTCTGATTTGTAGTTTTGGAGCGTTTCCTAAGTCAGACTCAAAACCATCAGTTCTATTCTCTGTAGTTGAACTCAGAGCTCCTGCAAGGATTTGCTTTTCTGTCCTTTTTTTTTTTGCCTACAAAGTTGTGCTTTCCTGTCACAACTTTAAACAAACAGAATCCATTTTGAGAGCAAAGCTGTCTCTCCCCTTGCTTTCTGAAGTTTTTGCTTTGAAAAACAAAGCATTTCATAATTTAGAAGGCTAAAAACAGTGAAGTAAGTCTGTTCAGAAATAATATTCTTAACAATACAGGCATTTTGAACAGAGTACTGTATCACAGAGAACTTGAATTTAAATTAAAAGGCAATCAGCTTTAATTATCACATTTGTATAGAAAAACTTGATTAGCTTGGACAGAGCTGAGAAACTTAATTATAATTACAAATACGCAATAATTTCACACTGTGTAATATTCCTAGGTACTTGTCATGCGTTAATTTTACCAAAAATATTCCTTATATTTTAAAGTAAATATGAACACCTGCACAGCTGTCAAAAAGGGAACTGCTAACTATTTCAGTGAACAAGCATAGAAGTCTCCTTATCAGACTGTACTCCATTGCCTTGGACCCCCAAAACAGAACAGCACTTGAGGTGACGTACTGTGATCTGGTATCAAGCCAGTCCCTGGTCTCAGCAGCAGCAGAACTTTATTCCCTCCAGCCTGAATCAGCTCAATGGCTCGTGTGTGAGTGATTCCTTGGGTGGGTTCTCCATTAATTTCAACAATTTGGTCACCAACCTGACAAGAAAATAGCAACCAGGTTAGTCTTTGTGAATCTCTTGACACCGTGAACTTACTTTTAATTTAGAAAGAAAAAAAGAAAGAGGCAGATGCTTCTATCTTTCCTCTCACGCTAAAATCCACTCAGCAAGAGCAACACCATTCCATGGCTGCTGATGAACACGACGCCACGCAACGCTCTGGTGGTTCAGAGCTCTTCGTGCCGGTCTTCTGCTCAGGCAGCTCAGTAAAATCTCGGGTTCCTTAAACACATCCTGCATTTACAAGCGATGAGACAGATACAGCCACATGCTTGAATGGGTTTTCATTCTGGATCACCATATGGAGGGAGCTTATGGAGGAACCACGTCAAACCTGGCACCATGCGCCTGTTTAAAATCACACTAACCAGGTAAGTAACACCGAACTTCTCTACACTTAATGCAGAGCTGAATGCTACTATGGCAGAACAGGTTTTATGCAAGGAAAGGATTTTTTTTTTTATTCCAGGTAGGAGAGATCACCACTATGCAGTCGCCAGTACTACGGTCTCTGAGGCCAATTAGCAACTTACAGAGGTATTGGGCCGGTAATTACAGTCCGGACGGCCTTTGCAGGCTGCTGGAAAGGGCTTGGAACAGCACCCCCCAAAAAGGGTCACGAAACCTATTTCGCCACACATGGATCAGCCAATGGATGTCACTAGCGCATAAAATGAGCAGTTTAAAGAGACAGACTGGGCTTTGCTAAATAAACTGTCCGTGCCAAAGGGGGTCACTGGCTGGCTGCTCATCGGACAGGACAGGACAGTCCACGCTGCATGGTGTGCCTCCCGTCAGCTCAGCTGCCATGAAGCGGGTGAGAAATTCCTCTTCACTGTTTTCACGTACAGCCAGAAAATGACACCATTTTGCAGCAGAAGAGGGAGCAACCGAACGATGTGAAAATTGTCAACAACCTCACGCTGAGCGAGCGCAGCCCCTCTGTGCTGGGAGCTGCTGGGGACGCACGGCACAGCGCTCGTGGCCCTGCTCCTCCGCGGCCACCAGCACCAGCCACGGGCTGTGGAGAGCTCGCGTTCCCCGCGGGACGCGACCACCCACCATCGCAGCCAACGCAAGCCTGCATGCACACATCCCCTACACGGCAAGGTGCTCGGGGGATTCGCGCAAGGCTGCTGAGGACCCATAGTCCAGGGTGAAAGTCAACACGTGGGAGCTGGAGCGCTTTCAGCA